AGGCCCTCGCTGACCACGTCCACTCTGCAGCTGGCCTCAGGTAGCTTGCAGGCAGCGGTGTGATGACTGCAACATGGTTAGATGGGCGGTCAGAGCAAGGCCAGACCCAGACCAAGCAAAAATCCTCAGTCCTGGAAACACCACATACTGTTTACGTAAAATGCAGGCGTCGAAATACCCAGTGTCCTCTTCCCGCCAGAAAGCAACTCTGTTGCAATTTAGGACAGGGTTCCCCCTCTCTAAGTAATGTGGTCCTAGGTTTTTAATCAATAACTGTTTGGAATTTCCCATATATATATTTACCTTTTCACAATTTACTCCCTGTAGAAGCCCACCATCCCCATTGTTTTCTCTCTCCATGTCTTTACAATTTAGCAACCTTTCTTAAATGGCGTATAAGCCCCTGAGTCTAATTATCTCTTTGCAGTTTTAACTTCCTTCCTAGGAAGCCCCCTATATGTGTAAAATTAAAAAATGAAATCTGTGTACATTTCTCTTATTAATCTATCTTTCATCAGTTTAATCTGCAGGCCCCAGTCACAAACATGAGAGTGTGGAAAAAAGATTTCCCTACCCTACTAAAGACTGTCACGTTACTCTCTCTGCTTTTGTTTCAGATTGAGCTTCAAATTATTCTTGAAGTAGTTACGTCAGTAAGTTATTATTTATTGAAAATAAAGATATATTTTTATGGGTTCGGTTCTTTTGACACCACTCAGTACAAAAGCTACTTATTAAAAATTCCATGTTTAGAATCAAGCCATGTAGACATTTCATGAGTTTCTTTTACCCCTGCGTTAGTTTGCAGATTGATTCTCTCTTTCTGCCGCCTTCTTTCCGTTAATATTGCAACAATGTCTTGATTGTTTCAACCCCAACTGCTTCCACCAGTCCTCGGGGTTTTCCTTGTGAGCCTTAATGGGGAAACATCTCTCCCTGTTTATTTGCTTTGATTCTTTTCCATTTCCTCTGTGGACGCTTGTTTCTCCTTAAATCCACCAGGGAGCCTCTCCTGAAATTACTTGTACTCTTTGACTTTTTTTTCCTGTCTCATAGAGACAGGTATTGAGTTTCTCCCACCTAGTATTTTTAAAGGATTTTAGTTCCGTCTTCTCCATGCTGCCGTATAAAACCAGAATTCTATAGCTCATCAATTTGTCGTTGAGAAATCCGCATATTTATGGTTCACTCTCTTCTTTTTAAAGTCACCATTTCTGTTCCCTCCCTAACGACCCTGGTAGTTCAGGATGAGACGCTGGTACGTGATGTTTAAATGGCCCAGTGCCGAGAGGAAATCTCAGGCTTTACCTCTCTCCACTTAATAACTCCCTGTTTCCTGGAGCCTTCTCTCCCCCGCAGGGAGGAGACAGGAGAATTTGCCAAAAATAAGTATCTTGACCAATAATCAGGGGGTTTTGGCTTGTCTTGGTTCAGGGGAGGGACTTTGAGCTCAGAACTGCCCTAAATCTTTGTTTTAATTCCTCCCTCCAAAAAAAGGCATTTTGGGAATTCTTTTGGCCAACGCTGCATGGCCGGCTCCTCTGGTGTCATCCTTGGCTGCCCTGTCCCCACTCATCTGTAAGACAGAGGACCTGGGGTTTATCTTCCAGCACAAACTGGATGGACCCCAGGCCAATCCTCAGACTCTGCATGTGGACTCTCTTGACAAGTGGGTGTGTGACGGCCGCCCCACGGGGTGCGTCGATGAGGAAGAGGGGACCGTAGGAGGTGGGACCGAGTCCCTGGGCGGGTTGATGTGGTCGTCGCCCATTAACAGGCACGCGTCCACGTGTGCACTTTTGAAAATGGCATGAGAGTTGTCAGGAAATCTCCCTGGTGAGATGAGTGTATGAAAACCTGCACACGGATGTTTATAGCAGCTTTATTCATAATTGCCAAAACTTGGAATCAACCGAGATGTTCTTCAGTGAATGGATAAATAAACTGTGGTGCATCCAGACAATGGCATAGTATTCAGCGCTAAAAAGAAATGAGCTATCAAGCCATGAAAAGATATGGAGGAACCTTAAATGCATATTGCTAAGTAAAAGAAGCCAATCTGAGAAGGCTACGTACTGTATGATTCCCACTCTATGACACTCTGAAAAGGCAAAACTATAGAGACAGTAAAAAGATAGTGGTTGCTGGGGGTATGGGGAGGGGAGACAAATAGACAGAGCACAGAGGATTTTTAGGGCAGTGAAAACACTGTGTGTGATATTATGATGATGGATACACGTCATTATACATTTGTCCAAACCCATAGGATGTACAACACCAAGAGTGAACCACAGTGTAAACTAGGGACTCTGGGTGACAATGACGTGTCAATGTAGATTCATCCTTCGTAACAAATGCACCATCTGGTGGGGGATGTTGATAATGGGGGAGGCTGTTCACGGGTGGGGACAGGGGGTAAATGGAAAATCTCTGTACTGTCCGCTCCATTTCGCCCTGAACCTAAAACTGCTCTAAAAAATAAATCCTATTAAAAAATATAATCATCTTAACAGCACATTATAAAGCTATAAGCATCAGACCCTTAATGTTCTCATCAGCTCAGATTTTGGTTTGTGTCTATTTACTGTGAAACTTAACTGCATACTTCACTGTTTAAAAATAAAAAATCAGATAACCTTCAAAAGCAAAGTATCTCAACCTCAGGCCGGGGTTTCATTTGCCCCAAGCTCCCAGAGCTGGGCTCGCGGCTCTGTTCTCCCCTTCGGGTTAAATGCGGACAGAAAGAATCGCCCGTCCCTAATATCTCAGAAACGTTTGACTTTCTGTTCCTGTCTCTTCCATTAAGGACCTGGCTGACCCACATCAAGAGCTTTTAAGACAGAGAGAGTGTCCTCTGCTTGGATAAAGGAAAACATTGAAACCATCAGAAATGACAGTGGCTAAACCATAAATTCTGCAGACATCATGTAAAATGGGTGTTTTGTCCGTGTTCAGTCGTTTACTCAGTACATCTAATTTTGATTTTAAACCATTTACAGTTTTTCTTGCTCATTAACAATAACATTAATTTTGTTATTGTTATAACAATTAGTTTTATTATGGTTATTGTTATAACAATTTGTGTATAATACAATTAATATTGGTATAACAATATTAGTTACAATGTTGTTAGTTCTAATGTAACAATAGTGTAATAATAATATGTAATGTAACAATAACAAATTGTTATTGTTTTCTTAGGATACATTTCAAACACTGAAGTTACTAAGTTCAAAGAGACAGAGTTTTAAAGCTGTAGATACGTGTCGTCTAGATGCCCATCAGGAAGATACAGTAGTTGTCTCCCCAGGCAGATGGTCTTCCGTTTCGGGTCTGGACAACTTCCCCACATTCTTCAGCATCGGAAATGATGATTTCTTTGAATTTTACCAGTGTTATAGGAAAATAAGCACCTATCATCGCTTTCATTCATTTATTTTATCAAAAACATATGTTAGTGTACGGGGCATGTACTGTATGAATTGTTGACAGTTTTGTGGTCTGCTCTGTATACGTCTTTATGTTCCACCTCTCATCTGGAAATCTCACAGTGTATCATGGAAATGTTACAGGGGAGACGATTAAAGAACCAGTAACAGGCTTTCTCTCTCAATAATATATATCATTTCTACTTATACTATTGTCTATATTTAAGTAGTTCCCTTCTCCTTTTACCGTCCTTTTTTCTTTTACGTGCTTTTCTTGGTAACATTTCTTTGTTTCACTTTCCAAATCATTTGGACAAAGTTTAGTTCACTTATGTCAATTTTTTACTTCAAGCCTTGCCGACACGAAGTGTTGAATTTCAATGAGTGGTTTTTCTGCATCTAATGTGATGACTGTACGATTTCTTTCTTTTAATCATTGCGTGTGTTAAACTCTCAATAGGGTGAATTACATGTGTGAGAAAATGCATTTACATAAATGAGAAAATAACTTGAGACACCACTCAAGTCTAAGGGTAACAGAATATTGACCACATCAAACCAAAAGAAAGCTGTATTAATATCAGATAACAATAACTTGAAGGAAAAAAGAACCATTGGGATGAAGACAGTGACAGCTCCCAAATGACAAAGGATGCGTTTGACCACGAAGGCATCCCCGTTTTCAATATGTGTGCACCCAAGGAAATCACCTTGAGGTGTAGGCAGCAAAAATTGACAAGGAGAAGGCAGCCGGCCCAGTGGTTAAGCAGTGGTTGAGTTCACGTGCTCTGCTTTGGCAGCCCGTGGTTGTGAGGATCCCAGCCTGTCGATAGTGATGCTGTAGTTATCAACGCCCGAGGCACTCGCCCGGCTGTCTGACTGTAGCAAGCCCATGGGGGCCAGTGTTGTGGCTGGACCTGCCCTTATGGGTCTTATTATGATCGCAAGATACACCTGTGCAAAAACCAGCCGGCAACTTTGAGAAATAAGATTTATCACTCACAGAACCTACCCTGCACACCTAATGGCCACACAGCGAGGCTGTGGTTTCAGAGAGAGAGGGAGGGAGTATGCACCGGGGGCTCTGCCTGTATTAGGGTCGAGGGTAGGGTGTCTAGGGTTTCACTGATTCCCTCTTTATTAGCTCATTGAAAGCTTAAGAGCCGGAGTGAGGGTGTGGGATGGGGAATGGGGGTCCCTCTGGTCCCCAGGTCCCCCAGGGGGTTCCGAAAGAGGGCCTTTCGTGGGTGGGGGCAGCCTCCTTCATCCCCGGGTGGTTTTGCTGGCGGCCGTGTCCTACAGCTGCCAGTATGCTTATTAGAGATGGATGTCTTCTGAAATGGGTGCTCCTTCCATCAAAAGCTTAATGGCAGACCCCACACAACACCAGGGCAATTAAGCCACACATCGTGATAAAAAATAAGCTCTAAAAATCCCCACACGTAGAGAAACCACCAGATTCCCCATGGGTGATTGAGGGGTGGCTGCGAATGGACAGGGCGAGGGCCAGGGTGGGAAATCTGGGCGTGGACGTAACCGGCTCTGTCACCGTCTCCTTCTTCGCTTCTGCAGCAGGTGGTACTCCCCGCACGGAGCCTACGCCCAGAGCAAGCTGGCCCTCGTCCTGTTCACCTACCACCTCCAGGGGCTGCTGGCAGCCCAGGGCAGCCACGTCACCGCCAACGTGGTGGACCCCGGGGTGGTCAACACCGACCTCTACAGACACATCTTCTGGGGCACGCGTCTGCTCAAGAAGCTGTTTGGCTGGTGGTTCCTCAAGGTGAGTCTCTGACTGTTCCCTTGTCGATGCCGATGGTGCGATCCTCGGCCGCACGGGGGGACGGCCACTTACACGGAGTTGGGTGCAGCAACCATCAAGGAAGATGGACTTCTTATGTCCACACTCAGAGGTGTGAACATCCCAGCATCCCTCATAGCCGAGATAAGATGCTGACTGACTAAGGGTCCTCATGTGCATTCACGTAGTTGCTGGAATTACAAACCACCTGGAACCACACCTGTTCAAGATACCTGGTGTGTCTGCTTTGGGTGTTCATCCTTCTTCATTTGTGTTTGCCCAAGTGGGGTGAAACCAAATGGTGTATTATGGGGGTGTATCTGTTTCTTTATCTAACCTCCTTTTAGGTGCATTTAGGTGGTTGTCCGTTTTTCCCATTAAATGCAATAATTATAACAAAAATTAACTTCTGGTCCATCTTCCTCTAAGACACAGGCTTAAAAAAAAGTCCTTTATATGCATTTAATCCCCAGGTAACCCAATGTGGTTCATAAACACCATGGTTGTCATTATCTTAGATGTCACCAGTGAAGACACAGGGACGAAGTCACCTGCCCAGGATGGCACGGGGCCTCTGGAGATGTGGTGTGTCTGTGATTACTTCCTTAGGATAAATTCTTAAAAAGGAGATTGTTCATCCAGAGGATATGCACATGTAAAATCTGCTATTCCGAATTCCCCAGCACGTTTCCACTGATATTTTTATATTTTGTGCGTAGACCCTATGCGGTCGCATTTAAATTTGCATTGTTTTTCATTACCAGTACAATTGTGCATTTATCGGACAGTAATCTTGCTTCTTGTAAGAAGGACGTGTGTCTTTCCTCTGGCCGTCTTTCTGTGAGGAGAGCCGATCTAGCCGTGGGACGCGGGCAGATCCTCCGGCTTCCACAGTCTTGGCCAGTGGACAATATTAATTTCTTCCCCACAGCGGGGTCTCAAAGATTAGAAACGATGAGGGCCAGCCCCGGAAGGGAGGAAGCATTCGATAAATGACAGTGATTGCAATGAACACTCCACCTCTGAGTTCTCCTTGGCTCAGCCTTTTGGCCACCAAGGAAACCTAGATTCTGACAAATAATAATTAACAAATGCAACCACCGGGCGCCAGCCTCTGGCCTCCTCCAGCTCTAATTACACCTCCATCATCACGAGATCCTTTCACCGCGTCAAAACCCCGACTCCTCCTGAATCTCTGAGTCCCCTCTGCAGTAACATGTAAAATTCGACTTCCCTTTATGAACGTGACTTCTGTGTGAATTACTTGGTCACGTCCTCTGGCCGTTTCTCCACCGGGGGAGATGCTGATTCAGAAAACGGTCTGTCTATTACAGATAGTCACCATTTGTCTCATGTTTCACATTTCGACTTATGTTCTTAGAGCGGATACTTTATGCCAACACGGAGTTAAAGGAGTTACATTGTTATTGCGCTGTGTTCTTAAAGGGGTTGTTTCCTTTTGTGGTTTAACTTTCCTGGTTTCAGGGCTACTGTCCTGTTTAGAAATTAATCCCTGGATTCTTTTTACTTGTTACGACCAGATTCTCAATCTGGATGACGTTTACATAGTGAGGAATACGGCTGGTATTGTTGTTCAAACTGGTCCCTTGTTCAGACTTGGACCCGTGTGTGTGCCCAAGACCCCATCCTTCTCTGCTGACCCCACAGACGACGGTAGCTGTTTTCTATGTACCTACGTATGCTTCCTCTGTTCTGAAGTCACAACTCATCTCCAGCAGTGCCCTCCCCATCCCTCTTAGTTTCGTTAGCTTTCCTGACCCTTTGACGTGACTATTTTCCCCCAACCACCTTTACGTGATTTGCAAATTGAAGAAAACACGATCTGTGATGAGGAGACACCCATTTATTGATCCAATCTCTCTTCTTCTGTACATTTGGATTGTTGTCATCTTTTCCCAGCTAGTATAACCATCAGAACAAAAATTAATTTGGGGGAGTTTGACTTCATTTAGGGAGTGTTGAGATTTCAGACAGAGCTGTTCCTGTCTGAGACTCGGGTGTCTCTCCTGTCGCTCACATCTTTCTTGGAGCTTGTGATAGTGTGACTTATAATAAGAAATATGTGTTTGGTCTTCCTCCCTGTTCCTGGCACAGAGCTCCTAAAAGCTTTGGAATTTCCTAAGTGATCACAGTGATAAAGGCGTCTTTGTTATGTTAATGAGGAGACTTTGGAATGTCCCGTGGATGGGGGCTGGTTGCCAGGGGAACGAACCCTGTGATTAGAGGGCTGGAACTTTTAGTCCCATCCCCCTGACCTCCTGGAGTGGAGAGGGATGGAGACTGTGTTTCGTCACCAATGGCCAATGATTTCATGAATCATGCCTATGTAAGGGAGACTCTAGAAAAACCGGAAAGGAGGGGATTTGGAGAGCTTCCGAGTGGGTGAACACATGGAGACTTGGGGGAAGTGGCATCTGGGGAGAGCGTGGAATCTCCATACCCTTTCCCCATGCATCTCTTCCGTCTGGCTGTTCCTGAGGTACATCCTTTTATAACAAACCGGGGCTCTAGTAAGTAAGATGTTTCTCTGACTTCTGTGAGCTGTTCTAGCAAATTAATCGAACCCAAGGAGAGAGTCCTGGGAACTTGGTGGATCAGAAGCACAGGTGACAACCTGGGCACCTGAAGTCGGGGATAGTCTTGTGGGACGGAGCCCTTCACCTGTGGGCTCTGACACCATCTCCAGGTAGACAGTGTCAGGACTGAGTGGGATTGTAGGACACCCAGCTGCTGTCAGAGAATTGCATGGAATGGAGAAAAACTCCACCACGTCAGAGTTGGCGACCAGAATCTTAATGCTTTTCAGAAGTGTTTTATTAATTCTCAATAAATGCCCATACATTTCCTATGGCATTAATCCTCATGATTTTATGAAGTTGTAATGTTTGTTTCTGTTGTGAGTAGGATTAAAAAAATTGCAAACTATGCAGACAACAAAATAAATAAAATATTTGAAAGTCAGTAATAAAATGAGCACACACATAATTCCAACACCAGAACGTGTCCATGCTTTTCCCTAAATGCACCTTCCTCCCTCCCCTAGTAGGTAAGCTCTTACCTAGACGTGGTGTTAAATATTCTCTTGTTTCTGGTTATAAATGTCTCACATGAGTGCGTTTCAGAAATTTAATTTTGCATTTTCTGATCCTCATATAAGTAGAATAATATCTGTGATTTGCTTTCTTTGCTCCGTCATTTAGTTAACTGGGGCTGTCGTAACAAGTGGCCCCACACTGGGGGGCTTAAAACCACAGCAATTCACCCTCCCCCAGTCCTGGAGACCAGAGGTCTGAGATGAAGGGGTGGCAGGGCCGCGCTCCCTCCACAGGCTCCAGGGGAGGGTCCTTCCTGCCTCTTCCAGCTTCTGGGGCTCCAGGCGTCCCTGGGCTGGTGGCCACCTCCCTCCCGTCTCTGCCTCCATCTCCACGTGGCTTCTCCTCTGTGTCTGTGTCTCCTCTTCTGTCTCTGATGAGGACACTGTCATTGGATTTAGGGCCACCCTCCTCCAGGACGCCCTCATCTCCATCCTTCACTTAATCACATCTGCAAAGACTCTGTTTCCAAGTAAGGTCCCGTTCCCAGGTTCCAGGGGTCAGAGCTTCAACGTATCTTTTGGGGGACACAGTTTGACCCACCGCACTCAGTATTAAATGTTTGTAGTCTGTCCACGTTGACGCATGTAGAAGTAGGTTATTCCTTTCCTTCCCTGTAAAGTCTCCCATGTGCGTATACAACACGGTTTAGATCCATTCTCCGGATTCAGAAACAGTTGGGCTGTTTCCATTTCTTTGCTGTCACCAGCAGGGTTGGTGTGAAGGTTCCTCTGCACATCTCCACGTCCACTCCTGCATCAGTTTCTCTAGAGGACATAGCAGGCAGTGCATTTTAAGGCTATAAGGTTCACACGTGTCCACATTTTCTGGAGAATTCCTTCTGGTTTTCCAGGACCGTTTTGCCAATCCACATTCCGAGTCCTGGGAATTCCTGATGCTTTGCATCTTCATCAATTCCATCACTGACATCTTGTTATTTCTAATAGAGTTTCAGCCTCTAATTTCTTTAGCCATATGACTATTTAATCTGCAAATACTGATCATATTGCCTCCTTCATTCTAATATATATGCTTCTGTTGAAAACTTTCTTATCCACTCTATAGACAATTAAATAATAGATCCTGTAGGTGGCCCCAAGATCTTATTTATTTTGTTGGGAAAACATCTACTATTTCTTTATTTGAATACTTATATATATTATCATTTGTATATTTTGCTTTATTATGCACTATGCTGTATGTTGTTCCTGTTTTATTTATTTTTTTAAATGAAGTATTCCTGCAATTTTACAAAAAACATTTTGCTTCTGAGAGCAGGGTTAGGCAAACTCTGGTCCACGGGCAGGCCACATGTTTTTGTAAATAAAGTTTTATTGGCACACACGCCCAATCATTTACGTGTTGGCCACGGTGGTTTCCACGTTGCAATGGCAGAGTTGAGTCATTACAACAGAGAACAGATGGCCCCCAAAGCCAAAAATATTTATTATCTGGCCCTTTACACAAAAAATTTGCTGGCTCTGATCCAGAGAGATGATTATATTTTTATTTCCTTTAACTCCCTCATTTGCATAACTTGGATGAGAATGTTCCTTAGAACAGACGGTCCCAAATTTCTAGGAGTCTTACTGTCGTGAGCATCCTTCTGTAATGCACCGCAGGTTTCCGTTTTCCCGTCACTTCATTGAGGGCTTTGGACAGATATTTATCCCCGAGCTGCAGATTCCCTTTCTCTGCTGTTTTTGTGACTTTTCAATACTAAAGTTTTGATGCTTTGTAGAAGAAAAGAGAGAGATAATTGAGAAGGTTTTCTTTCTATTTTCCTTCCTATGTTTCAGCATAGTCTAATGATCTTGAAAAGTATCTGCTTTTGAAAATTGAAACGGTTGGCCTTTGAAAACTCTCTGG